GCGCGGGGGGGGGGGGGGGGGGCGGGCGGGGGGGGGGGGGGGGGGGGGGGGGGGGGGGTGTTCCGCTCTCCTTCACTCCATAGGGAAGGAGAGGTGGGAGTGTTGAGAGAGCCAACAACACTCACCCAGGTCACAAGACCCCCCCCCCCCATATAAATGTCGCTCTTCCTCCTGAGCTCCGTTTCGTTTGTGTGAGAGTGGTACCCACCCAGCCGAGATCAGCTATACAGTGTGCTTATACAGACTTCTATGCAACACAACAGAAAATGGACTTAGATTATATTCGCCGTGAAATGGATTAAAAAGTTTTGGCAATAAATTACTATAAGCTCAGTGTTCCCAGGGCTCCCTCTACCAGCATAGTTACCTTTCATTCTGCTCATTTTAAATCTTCTGTGGACAAAATGTATAATTCCGAAGGGGTGGATTTTGGGGTCTTGACCATAGCCTGGGATGAGAACAAATGTGTTGCTGTGACATGACCACCAGGAGGCGATGTGTTTGGCTCTCAGACTGGATGGCGCTTTATCAGGGGTCCCCGTAGGCCCTGTGACCATGGAACTTTCCTTGCTGTCTGACCCCAGGAGAGGCAGCCAGATCCTGCAGCAGCTGCCCGCCCGCTGGCTGAGGGAGGTCCTAGAGGAGGTGAAGCGCAGCGACCCCTCGTCGAAACTGTGTGCCACGCGGCGCAGTGCCGGCATTCCGTTCTACATACAGGTACGGCTCCGCAAGCCAGCCGCTTGCCCTCGCAACGCGTGCGCCAGCACTCTGACCCTCAGGCTCTGCTCTTCTGCAGGCCCTCCTATCGTCAGAGCCCAAGTCCTCCAGCTGCAGTCTCCTGAAGACCACGATGAGGGAGCTGACAGCCCTGGCCATGCCCCCTCGCGCCGCCACCCCCCACGGCAGCACAGTCCCGCAGGTTTGCTCGCACATACGCCGTCTTTCCACTGTCCTCGGCCTATAACCTAACGCCCCCTGTACTGCAGGGGCCCCGGAAACACCTGCAGCTGTTTATCCGACACTCGAACAAAGGGGGACATTGAGAGGGGTGTCGGGGGTAACAGAATCCCCTCCCCCGCCTGGGCGAGACCCCAAAATGCGCTCCCCGGGGGGCCATTCGTGGTCAGTGCCGCATCCCCGCCCGCCTGGGCTCCCGCGCCGCTGTTTCCGGAGTTGGTGGTTTGCGCCTAAATTTATCCCGCCGTGTTTGAATGAGTTGTGCGGATAGCGGACTGACGGGATGGCCGGCCTCAGACCCCCGGCCCACATCCTCCCCGGCCGGCCCCTCCCAGCACCGGCGCTCCGCCGTCCCCGCCGCGGCCTGCGGCCAGCTGCGTGCCACCAGGGGGCGAAACGGCGGGTGTGGAGAATGGCCCCTCTGTCTGTAGCTGTTTCCTGTCCAGTGTGTGGGTTATATCATCTCTCTGTTTTTGCCGAGCGTTACAGCCCTTGTGGGGGGGGACATATATAACAAGTTATGCGGCTTCCTGGAGCAGCAAGCGGCGTCCCAGCTTATCCGTGCAGGCTGGGTGTGGCTTATTTTGACCGGGCAGGAGCCGTGTATCCGGCGTCTGTCCGGAGTGGAATGCGGTGACTCGGATTCGGTCGCGTTGCGCTTCCCTTCTGCGGAGAGCTTCAGGGACGGTCAGCTGACCCTGTAAGATGCGAATCTGTCCCTCGGGACTTGCCTGATGAGACGCCTGGTGATCTCATGTTCTTGGTGTCCGCTCAGGTCCACGCCCTGAACATCCTGCGGGCCCTATACCGGGACACGCGCCTGGGAGAGAACGTCATGCCCTTCGTCGCCGATGGTGTGCAGGCTGCCGTGCTGGGGTTCACCTCGCCGGTCTGGGCGGTGAGTCTGCACCTCCTGCTCAAATTTCACTCGCCTCTTCCGGACACCTTTACTTCAGCTTGTACCTTTCAAATAAGACCCCCCCCTGTCAGGCCATAGAAACACCTGTAGGATGGTCTCCACGCAAGGCCTGTGCCTCCATGACTTGCAGAATTTTCCCTGGGGTTTTTTTTTTTTATTATAATTCTAGAAGTGACAAAGTATATATTTTGAATCATTTATTTTGACTTTGATTAGTAAGAAAGTTTTTATAAACGCTTAACTGTTGATTAATCTCACAGACAGCCATGTGTTTAAAGTAAATGCAGGTATTTTATTTAGCAGAAGCGGAATATACTGTAGGACCGCAGACACAAAGCTGTACATAAAATGAACCATCAAATGAACCTGGATGTCTTTATCATAAGCTAGAGCTGCACGTTAACTTGGCTCAGTTACACTCTCGTTTTGAGCTCAACAATAGTTGTAAACCGCATACAATGTACAAAAAAAACGATATAGCTGCACACCAGGGGCCTGTTTCACAAAGCAGGATTACTTGCTTAGCCAGATAACTTGCCAGATTTAAGGTAGTCTGGGCTAAATAGACCTTATTTTCATCAACTTACATTTAGCCCAGACTACCTTAAATCTGGCAAGTTATCTGGCTAAGCAAGAAATCCTGCTTTGTGAAACAGACCCCAGTAAGCAAAACAACATATACTAGGCAGCAAAGGTCTTGTACGTCCTCCATGCTCACGTGTGTCTTACTTCCGTGAAAACAAAGACAAAGCGTTCTTTATTCCCGTGAAGAATAACCTTTGAAACAAAGAGAGCTAAACAGGAAAGGGATGAACAAGTCGGAGCTCACTGATGTAGGCGTGACAACATTTTTATCTTTCTGTAAATGCAGTGTAGATGCTCATAAAGATTAGTTGCCAGAGCGGTGAGATTTTTCTCCGTTTCTGGGGAAAAAAGATCTGTGGTAGTGCGGACAGGAGGCTAAATCGTAAGAATTCTCGCGTTACTAAACGAAAACGTATTAGTCTCGCTCTGTCACCTCGCTGTGAAACCCAACGCACTCGTCACTCCACGTTCTACCGCTTTGAATCTCCTGCTGACTCGATTAAACACTTTCTCCTGTGGGAGGGGGGACGCCGTGCATGGTGTGGGACGTGGGCCTTCTGTGGCATCAGAAAACCCCGGGAAGACTCCCTCACGGTCCCTTTGATCTCCTCCCCGCGGAGGAGCCCTCAGTGGGGGTGGCCTCAGCCATGCCCTGAAGCCGGTTCCTCAAGCCCAGGAACCGGCTTCCTCAAGCCCAGGAACCGGCTTCCTCAAGCCCAGGAACCGGCTTCCTCCTGCAGGTCCCCCACCTGGAGGCCACGGTAACTGGGGTCAGGTAGATACTTTCCAGAAGATTCTGCTCATTATGAGCCAACGTCCCACGTGGAAGCCGTGCAGAAACGCCAGCTTGTGCGACTCCCTCCAGATTTAGTGCTCGGTGCCGATTGTCTGTCTCTTACTGCACTCTTTTCTGCATGCGCACTGATGCATGACGGCAGTCTCTCCTCTGTCGTATCTCAGTGGCTTATTTGTCCAGAAATGACGGTGCGTTTTCATAACGCAGCTTTTAGCCGAATTGGCCGACGGGTGTGTCTTCTGACCAGCTTAATATATCTAAGGGAGGCCTTGTGCCTGCCAGACATCTGCCCCAGGAGCTGTGGGGAAGCCTCTGCCAGGAATACCACCGGAGATGGATTACCGCTGGCAGTGAGCAGCGGGAGCATCCCAGCTCCCTGACGCGGAGTGTAAACAAACAACTCTGCCTCCTGCAATCCAGTGGGCGACTACCAGGAGCTGATCCAGGATCTGTTTGGGCTGCTCGCGGCTTCCCAGTTTGCTGTCCCTGCAGGGATGGGCGGTGTCCCGGCCTGCCACCCGCAGTGTCGAGTCTGCGTGGCTTCCTGCCGACGCTGGGTGACGAGCTTCTCTCTCTCTCCCTCCTGCAGGTACGCAACTCGTCCACCCTGCTCTTCAGCACCCTGATCACCAGGATCTTCGGTGTGAAGAGAGGCAAAGACGAGCACTCTAAGAAAAACAGGTGGGGTCCTGGCTCACCTCGTCGACCCCTCCTCCCGTTTGTCACCACCGCCACCGCCACCACTGTACCTCTTCTGTCACCAGGGGGCAGTGTGCTCCCACTGAGCACATCTCCCATCTCCCTGCTTGGCCTGGGTGAAGTAATCAATCACAGTTCCCCAGTTTATTTCCAGCAGATGTAAATGATATGTGCAGTTTCCAGCTTAAAATGTTGTTTGTTTAAAGAGTACAGCCTTTCTGCAAGATTGGCACAACAGTCCTGCTGCTGCTTTCTGTGTTTTGTGTCTCCCTGCTCTTTCTCTGCCTCTTATCTCCCTGTTGTTTGAGTAGTAGGCAGCAGTTTGCCATGCTAGCGCGCACGTGTGTGTATGTGTGGGCATGTATATATTACATCGTGGGGACCATATATCTGCTACAATGTGATAAAAACCTCTTATTTTGACCTTCCGGTTGAAACTCTGTTTTATAAAAATCTGTGAATGAAATCAAGTTACTTAGAATGTCGAAAGTCTTGTATTTTGTTTAGTTACTTATGGATAAGGATAGGGCTGGGTGAGGGTTAAGGGTGTCCTTATTGGGATTAGGGTTTTTCCCATAGAAATGAAAGCAGAGTCCCCATAAAGATAGATACTTAGTGTGTCTGTGTGTGTGAGAGATTCTCACCACCCCTGATCTGGACCTCCTGTCGGAGGCCTGTTATCAGATTGGCTGTTCCGTTCCTGCACTGGATTTGCGGGTCGCTCAGTTCGTCCCCCTCCCCCTGGTGGCAGAGGGCAGTGTGCCTGCTGACCTCGGGGTCGAGTTTCGATGACGAGATCACAGGGCAGAGAGTATGCCGACATGAGGGAGGAAGGCGATTTTGCTCGAACCCTTATCCCCTTGCCCCTCAGCCATGGGGTCACGTCCCCGACTGCTGGGGCCTTTGATCCTGTTGCTGACGTAATCTCACCTTAGGCTGACCTACACAAGCTCCAAGGCGTGACCCCAGTGCATGCTGGGAGCAGACAGGGAGATTATGTGCTTGTTAGTGGTGAACTGGTTATGGTGGTGGTTGGGGGGGGGAGGTATGTAACGAGAGGTTTATTGTGGGCAGGCTGTGGTTTCTTTAGGTTAATTTCTTTGATTTGGCCAGATTTGTTTCATGCTTAATTCGTTGTTTTTGAAAACCAGCGAGCGGTTTGATCTGCTGGTTTCCATGGTAGCTTTGGTTTCAGACGTCCCAGAATCTTTGTTGTCGTAACTTTGCCTGTGTAGTGTTTGGTCCTGTTCAAGCAGGTGCTTGAAGTGCATTGGATCACCCCCCCCCTCCCCGCCTACACACACACACACACAAAGTCACGTTACGGAACTCCGGTCACATTCTGATACCGGTTTCCTGTGAACCGTCCAACAACACACCGAACAGTCTGCTAGCATATCAGGATCAACGTGTTTCTTTTCATGCTATAGGAGGCGGGGTCAGTTTCTCCAAAAGACCTGACCCCCTTTTTGATCCCAGACCCGTGGGGAACTTTTGTAAATGAAAGCAGATCCATTCATCCGTGTGCGACCCTTTTTCCTGTGTCGCTCTCCTCGTACCGCGCCTATAACAGCGCGGTGGGGTTGCCATGACGAAAGGCATCGGGCTGCTGGTCTCTGGGGGGAGGAGTTCCAGCAAGCTATTTTTGGGTCTTCTGGAAAACACTTTCATAAGACTATCATCTTAATTGTCTGAGTCAGTATTGAATTGTTGCAATTATTACACTCACTGCTGTTGGTGTGTTGGTTCCAGACGGTATTTGTTTGTGCTCTAAGTTCAGTCTCTATAG